CCCCAAAACCCCAAAACCCCAAAACCCCAAAACCCCTTTTCTACTCCCTAAATTTGAAAATTGGCTAAAATATTAAAATATTAAAATGTCCGGGAAAGACAAAGGTACTAGATCTATGAGGAAAGATCAGCCCAGTAAGTGATAGTTAAGATTATTCTTGCCATCTTCAATATGCAAGCATATTGAAGATTCTTCTCTAGACTTCTTCCCTGAGTTATGTCTTTAAGATGAATTAATGAATACAAGAATCCTTTATCAACTTCATAATCATTTAGGCCGAAGGTTCAGACATAGGCTAGCTCAGGTATTTGATAAATCGATAATTATAAAGAACGACAGTCTTAGAGAATCTCTGTGTCGAAGCAGTAAGATTACTTAAAAATTATACTCAACAATTTAGTCTCGAGGTTGAAGAAATAAAAGAAGAACCATGGAACTCATGAAAATAACATATGGTATGACTTCAGGGTATATTCCCATAGCTGATCCAGAAGTTCCATATCAGATATACTCCCAAAATGTAGAAAGTCTGAATAGTACTGTCAAAAATGGCCTTCTAGAGCAAAGTGAACAAGTTGCAGAAAATGTTGAGCCAAATTTTAGTATGATGAATACCCAAAACATCTCGACTCAAGGAAAAGAAACCTTTAGTGCTCTCAATTTTGAAGGAAGAGATTATATCAGTACTGACAGCAAGGATATTGGGAAGATTAGTAAATGTCTAAGCAGAAAAGAAAAGAGGTAATTTCAACTCTAAAACTTTAATCTAGACTTCCTCCTACTTTTGAGTGTGAAGAAGAAGCTCTTCAAAACTGTGAAGATAAAGAGAATGTTCCTTTAAATCCTTTTAAGACTCCAATTCAGCAAAAACTAGAGAAGCTCAATCTTCAAGAAAATAATAAGAATGAAGAGAGAAAGGGAAAGACCATGTTACCAGGAATGAGTCAAGGTGGGTTTAGCGCTTATTTTCTCTATTTTTGATCTTTACGTTCCTATCCTAATTATAGATGGAAATTTTGCAAAGAACATGATCAGTCCAACCCAAAATGACCCAAGTAACTATTAAATCTTTCTTTAACCACTATTTTAGATTGCAATGAAGAGAGAAAGACCATGTTCAAAGCGACACCTTACTCAAAAGAGAAAATCCGGTTCATGAAAGGAGTTCCTTTTGTAAGCCATCTCCTCACCATTCACAGCGCCCAAAGAGACCAAACACAAAAGTGGTCCCTTTCAAGCTCTCCAAATCTAACAGCTCCACCACTCTCCACCACGAATGCCTCGAAGCCCACTCTCCAAAGTTCAACACCCACGTTGAAAAAGTCCCTCGGACCAAAGAATGGCCTTCAAATTCCAAAGCTCCCAACCGAAGGAGGAGTAATTCCCTCACCTACGACAAAAAGCATGAAGGGCTGGAAGAAGGATACAGAGTGACCTTCAACGTAAAGCCTGATGGTACTCTTCAAGCGTGATTTTAGGGATTCTTATGAAGAGTGATGATAAGCCAGAGGCAAGGCCGCAGAGGTTCTTAGAAACGATCGTTGAGAGCACCTTCAGGAAGGTAGGTGATAGGTTGTTACCGTGTAGGGACAGATAGGCAGACAGGAAGGAGAGGAGAAAGGGAAGAATATGAGGATAAGAGACTTTTTGTTAAGAAAACCGGTAGGTTAGAGGCTTAGTTTTAGGTGAGCAAACCTACAGTTCCGGTAGAGCCCAGACTTCATACAGATAAAAGGTCGTTAGAGAGGGAAGAGTATGCGAAAAGAGCAGCGGAGTATAGAAAGGAGTTGTTTAAGAAGCAAAGAGAGGATTTGGAGAGAAGAACGAAGATGAGACAGAAAAATTTTCAGTTTTAGCTTATCTTTAATCCTCAATTATCTGTTCTGCCTTCGGGGTTTTGGGGTTTTGGGGTTTTGGGGTTTTGGGG